TGATCAATAAATCGGTAATTTTTTGCTTGATCTTTTCACTGTAGTTATTTTGAATTAGAAATGCATGTGTTTCGTGGTTAGCAGTCTAAACAAGAATTAATTATAATGATTAAATAAAATAAAAAACGCTTGTCTTGAGATTATGGATTTTAATTGATTTCATCTAAAGATATATTATTATTGCTATTATCGAGTCAATATAAGACGCTTAATTTTTTTTCTATGTTGACTAATAGTATAGTAAGGGCTATATTACGGAACAAACCATGTCTAGTTATTAATAGCTATTCTAGATGAATTGAAGTTTCACCACAAGTAAGTATTCAAGAGGGCATAGTTAAAATAATAACCGTGATCAATGAGAATTTCACCAAGTGAAAATTAGCAACCAAGTCCCTATCTCAATTGATTCATTTATCACATAATTTATTCATCTTAGTGTTTTAATCTTTTCAAGTTCGTACAAATTTAGAACCCCCATTTCTCTTACAACTTCACACGAGCAAAATACGCTTTTCATGTGAATACGAACTCTACTACATTATACTATCATAGTTAGTGCTAGTGGTGAAACTATATTTGGTACGCACATGACGAGTGCATGTCGATCTGTGTGCTATTTACCCTATAATATAATACATGTTCCATATTAGTTAGCTATTAATTAGTTCCTTTATTTTACACTATTAATTTCATTCTTCTTTCATGTCCACTTATGGTGTTGAAATATTTATCCTACATCGAACGGTACTGTTATAAAGTAATAAAACATTATATTGATCTATTTCTTCTATCAGGTTGAGCTTTTGGAATGGAACCCTGAATCTTAACATGGTATCAGAGCCAAATATTTTTGTGTGGGACCCCTTGAAAAATAGTGCCATGATTATAAAATACGACAACGGCGAAACGATGAAAAATGAATGACGGCACAATCCAGAAAAAGTTTTGGGTCATCATAAAGAGGGGTATTGAAGTATTTCTCACACCGGTAACATATTAAATAATAAAATGCTATATTAAGATCCTCGACTAGTCAACCTATCAGGTATTTTCGTAGACCTTTTAGGATGAAATCACGAATCTTAATATGGGTTCATAACTAGATCTGATTATGGTTTGATTGTTGTTTGGCACCAATGATAGAGAAGTAACTCATTAAGGTTTTGCTTGACCCATTTTGTACACCTCGATATATCCTTTCAGGTTTGGGCTAAGAGCGCGTGTTTAAGTAATTCTCACACACCAGATTGGTATAAAGTAATGAAACGTTACATAAGATATCAGGTTATGCCTATCAGATTGAACTTTTAGGATCAATTTTTGTTTCTTAATGTGTGGCTAGACCTACACAAAAACGGACTCGAGCCGGGCTAAACATAAATTTTCTGCCCATTGGTGTGGGTGAAAAAAATCTCTTTTGGCTCTGATATCATGAATCGATTCATGTTAACCGGCCCCAAAATCTTTTGAGAGTAAAGCTATGATGTTGTTGTTGGTGTGTGTGTGTCGGGGGGGGGGGGGGGGGGGGTCATCGCAAAACAAGACTAACCATATATGCCCATACCCGCTCGTCCCCGCAAAAACGAGCCAGATAGTCCATCAGGCCAACCGGCTCGAGAAAATTTAAAAATTTCAAAATTATATGATCTTTTTAATACTCTCAAAATAATACTGGCACATTTAAAAAATTGTCAATACACTTATAATGTTGATAAGTCTCTCACCACATACCCAAGAAATATTTGCACAAAACTAATCATGAGAAACTATAACTAGTATAGATATTATATTGGTTGGGTTAGTTGTTAAGAACTAAAGACTTAAACAGGTCAGGCTTATTGGCCTGAACAGGCCTACACCCTAACCCAAGCCCGACCATATGCTATTGCGGGTCAAGCCCGTCCCGTCCTGGTGGGTAAACATATACGTTCAAGTCCGTCCATTTGTGCGGGTGGGATGGGCGGGGCCGGGCAGGTTGGCCCGTTTATGTGCAGGTCTCCCCACACCTGGTGTGGGATCCTTTGCTTACAGTATGTTGCTCTACTTTATGTTTAACGGTATCATCATTTAATAGCAACCCATAGTTTAAAATGAAAACTTCGGGAAAATAATAATAAAGACCTCCATGTATATATGAACTAGTATATCTGTATATATGAAGGGTAATATAGAGAACTACACAATTTCAAATCTATCATAAAATCATACTAGAAAGTTAACATATATGCACTCTTACTTTTAAAAAATCACCCTAGTCATTTTATCGTAATTGAACCTTAATAGTATCAACCTTTATCAAAAAATGAAAAATGAATATATGTATATATATATATTAGGGTGAGGTTCAAATAAGAAGAAGTCTTTAGGTGAGAAATGAGAATGAATCTCAACCATTAGATTCGACTATTTTGCAGTAAAAGTATTTTATATTGCACTGAAATATGCAACCTAATTTGGTGGCATTTTTTGAAAATAATCGTGTTACAGTTGCCTAGTGCAACAAGAAGCAGTTTTGGTGCAACATCGTCAAATATAAGAGCAACATGAAACAGTTTTAGCGCGACATTGCAAAATTTAAATCTTATTGCAACAAGAAACTATTTTTAGTGCAAAATCGTAAATCTAACGGTTGAGATTCATTCTCATTTTTCACATTAGATGCATTTATCACTTGAACCAATTATATATATAGGAAAATATATATAATGTAAGCCTAAAAGTTAAAATTTTAGGCCTTTTTCGGTTGAGGGGCTTCCGCAATGAATTTTTTGATGAAATTTTGTGAGAATGTTCTCCATGAATTGTATATTATATCTACCAAATTTTAGATTAAAATTTAATCGGGAAGTCACATAAATAATTTTTTTAAAATTGGGCAGTTTTTTAAACATATAACATGCAGTTTTTTTCAATAATTTAGTTAACTAACTTCCCGATTGAATTTTAAGTTGAATAATTCATTTCTCATTTCTCACATAACATACACTTCAAGGAGAACATGCTCACAAAATTTCATCAAAAATTCGACTCGGAAACACCTCAAATGAAAGAGGCCTAAGAATTACAACTTTTAGGCCTATCTTACATGAACTTTAAGGCAACTTTTTTATACTCCCGAAAAGGTTCACCAACTTTGACTTTCACAGGGATTAATAAAGTAAAAATTGTGTGGTTGAAATTTGTGCAGAGGAAAGAGAATTAACTTTAGCCACATATTCCTTACTTTAAATGGAAATGACAAATCTTTTTGGGACATCCAGAAAAGGAAATTTGGCAAACCTTTTCGGGACGGAGGGAGTATATATATATATAAACAAATCATAAACTTTTGAAAAATATAGCTATATAAATTTCAAATCATAAACATTTTCAAAATCAATAAGTAGTCAGAAAAGTTGTAAAAAAAGAAATGATTATAAAATAAACTAAAATAAAATAAATTAAAGAGAGAAAGTTGTTGGAAACTAAAAAAAATGTAAAAATGACACGTTTCATCTTTTTTATGTTTTTCAAATTTATTCGTAAATGTCTATTGTTTTGAGCAAATTGACACTAATAATCCCTACTTTTATGCATTTAATTAATAAAAATATTAGCTCTACTTTTAGGCGTTTAATAAAAACGATCCCTACTGTGAACGTTGACAACAATAACCCCACCTCACAAGTCACCTCACAAAAATGAATTCAAGACTAACAATGTAAATTTTTACGTTATGTTTTTTTGCATATTGTATGAATCGAAAAATATAAAGAATTAAGGTTAAAGGATCAAATAGGTACATGAACTAACTTAAAGTGTTCAATTAGCCCCTTATATAGAAGGTTCTGCCCGGCCGTCGCAAATTGGGGCGGTTTTTGGTGGAATTTTTTGATGAAATTTTTTGAGCATCTTCTTCATTAAAATTAGTTTACCCATATCAAATTTTAGCTAAAAATTAAATCGGGAAGGCAATCAAATGATTTTCCGAAATGTACTGCGCTGTTTAACTACGTAGTTATCTTCAAAAAATCATTTGACTGCCTTCCCGGTTGAATTTTTAGATGAAATTTGGTATGGGTAAACTAGACTTAATGATGAAGATGCTCAAAAAAATTCATCAAAAAATTCCACCGGGAACCGCCCCAATTGGCGACGTCTGGGCAGAACATCCTATATAAGGGGCTAATTGAACACTTTAAGTTAGTTCATGTACCTAGCTATTTGACCCTTTAGCCAAGAATTAAAGACTTGAATTCAATTTACTATTAATTGTTTTCATAAAATATAGTAGTAATATAACTGTATAAGTATGTGAATAAATACACGATACATTCTATTCTGTTAAAAAATCTCTTTTATACTCTTTTTTCTTTTTAATCAAATATCCATCATATTCATTCTTGTTTACATTTCAAAGTAGTTTTGGTAATACTATTGTTGGGACGTTGGACCAAGCGGAATCAGGTCGGCCTAATATCACCCCTTTAGCCCAGGCGACCTCTACGGGCCTAAGGACCTGTTCCGGACATCCAACAACAAGCTGCTGCTCAGCATTGTCATTGGGCCGGATCGTAGAGCATGACCCAAACAGTAGGGTCCAAGGGCGCTCAGGCTCATCTATACCGGCGAGCCAACCCAGCCTACAGCAATCCCACCACTATTTAGAACTGCTCCGGGCTTTTGGTGGGAAATAGCAAATCCAAGTAGAGCTGAATATATATAAATATGGGGCTAGCTCTTCTTGAGTGTATTGTAAGTGTTCATCATCCATAAATATGTGTTGGAAATAAGTGAAGGAAGATTTGGGAAATTGGGTGGCTAATTTAGAAATATTATGGAAGAGATATTTGAACAAAGGGGAAGAACTCTTTTTATTAGAACAACTCAAATTGGTTTGATTTGCTTGATACAAAGTGATGGTAGGGAAGCTCTATTTATACTAATACAAAAGTATCTAGACTCTTCTACCATTAATGAATTCTACACAATTCTACACAATTAATACTAGGAGAATTCTAGAGACCACACTTTCTAGAGAAGTTCTAGAATTCATTCCGTCTACACTTTTCTACTACTTGGGCCTTCCCTACAACAACTAAAATAAATTTTAAATAGGCCCAAAATATAAAAACAAGTTTAATTTTCAACATCCCCCCTTAAACTTGTTTTGTAACTCCGAGCATGGTTCTCAACATTCGAAAATCTTTGTGCTTGAGCGGCTTCGTGAAAATGTCGGCAATTTGATCATGGGACCTTACATACCTTACTTCAACCTCTTTTCTTTCAATGCATTCCCGAATGTAGTGATAGCGGGTATCAATGTGCTTGCTCATGTCATAAAATACCGGATTCTTTCCCAATGCTATTGTGGACTTATTATCCACAAATATCTTCATAGCTTCCTTTTGTGTCATACCTATTTCTTTGAATAAATTCCGGAGCCATATAGCATGACAAACACAAGAGTTGGCGGCAACATACTCGGCTTCACATGTGGAAAGGGTCACGATAGGTTGCTTCTTTGAACTCCAAGTAAAAGCCGTATTACCCATAAGAAAGACAAATCCGGTAGTACTTTTACAATCATCAACATCTCTAGCCAAATCACTATCACTATACCCAACAAGTTTGAAATCATTGCAAGAATTGTAGAACAACCCAAAGTTAAGAGTACCTTGTTGGAAAATGTGTTAAAATTGCATTAAATGGTAATTTTGGGGAATTTTTTTGAGTGGGGTCCACTTCCAATTTGGGTCATGTCAAAGTGGTTCCGGATTGTCCTTGTTATGGGCTACAATTCGTTATATGGTACGCTCAAAACGGATAACGGGTGAATGAGAAATTGATTCTCGAAGTTTACCCGTTAGAATGGAAAAATTGGGAAAAAGGATGGATTTCTAGTGTGTTATTACCCACACCGGAAAACCAAAAGGGATTTGCAACCCTTTATAAAGGGACTCCCCCCTTAAGGAGTTAAGATTCATAAGGGTAAAGGCCCTCTCCACGCGCGGGGGGGTGGGGGGGTGGGGTTGCAACGCTCCTAGCACCGTTGGCTGAATTCTGCTCCATCTCATTTCTTGTTTTTCTTTAGTCATTTTAATTAATTAATTTTAATTAATTTTCTTTATTTTCCGAAACACATCCAACATACCTTTGATGTAGCGGAGAATTCTCTTGGCGGCCTTCCAATGAGAGGTTCTTGGATCTTCCATGTACTAGCTAATAAGACCAACCCCGTACAAAATGTCCGGTCTTGTACAAGTCAAGTATCGTAAGCTCCCAACTAAGCTCTTGAACATTGTGGGTTCCACCTTTTCCTCATCACCAAACTTGGATAATTTTACCCCACAATCCACCGGTGTGTTGATTGGATTACAATCATCCATTTTAAACTTCTCAAGGATTTTCTTTGCATACCCTTCTTGACGGATGAAAATTCCACTCTCACTTTGTTTTACTTCAATTCCCAAATAATAAGATATTAAGCCCATATCGGTCATTTCAAATTCTTGACTCATTGCCCTTTTGAAATTCTCAAATAAATTAAGATTATTTCCCGTGAATATTAAATCATCAACATAAAGGCAAACAATCAAGATATCTCCATTTTCCTCCTTTTTAACATAAAGGGCATGTTCATGGGGACACTTTATAAAATTATTCACTTGGAAATACTTATCAATTCTAGTATTCCAAGCTCTTGGAGCTTGCTTCAAACCATAAAGTGCATTTTTCAATCCCGGTGGTTGCTCCAAATAAACTTCTTCCTCTAATTTTCCATTTAAAAATGCGAATTTCACATCCATTTGGAAAATTTTCCATTTATTTTGAGCCGCCAAAGAAATTAAAAATCTTATAGTTTCCAATCGGGCAACGGGAGCAAATACCTCTTCATAGTCGATGTCGGCTCTTTGGTTGTACCCTTTCGCAACCAATCTTGCTTTGTACCTTTCAACTTCCCCCATGGCATTCTTCTTTTCTTTAAACACCCACTTTGCACCAATTGATTTGTGCCCTTTGGGTAAGGTGGCCAATTCTCAAGTATCATTTTTTATGATGGCCTTCATTTATTCATCCATTGCTTCCCTCCAAGTCTTGTCATTAGCCGTTTATTCAAAACCTATTGGTTCACAATCAGCAAGAAGACAAAACAATGTTAGATCATTAATATTTTCGGTAACCTCATATAGCTCTTGTATGCTCCTTAAACGGGGCGGTCTTTCATTTGAGTTATTTTCTTCTTGCTCCGGTGATGGTGGAGTTGAAGTCGCGGGCTCTTCATGGGCTAGCTCTTGCTCCTCCTCTTCTTCTTCATTGTAGTAAGGCAAGAAATTGTAGTCTTCTTCTTCTTGAGTCCAATCCCAAGTGCTCTCTTCATCGAACTCAACATCACGTCTAATCACAATTCTTCCATTGTTTAGGTTGTATAACTTGTACCCCTTTGATGTTGCATCATAGCCAATAAAGATAAACTTCTCCCTTTTGTCATCCAATTTGCTCCTTTTTTGATCGGGCACATGAGCATAAGCAATACTCCAAAAAACTTTCAAGTGGGCGATTCCGGGCTTTCTTCCACTCCATGCTTCTTCGGGGGTTTTGTTCCAAACACTTCTAGAAGGAGATCGGTTTGACAAATAAACCGCACAATCCACGGCTTCGGCCCAAAATTCTCTTGGAACATTTTTGCTCTTAAGCATGCTTCGAACGATATTAAGTAGAGACCGATTTTTCCTTTCAACAACTCCATTTTGTTGTGGAGTATATGGAGCCGTTTAGGGGCGATGAATACCATTTTCCTCACAAAAACTTTCAAATTCCTTTGAAGTGAATTCCCCCCGCGATCGGATCTCATGGATTTTATTTTAAACCCGCTTTCATTTTCAACAAGAGAGCTTTAAATTTCTTGAAGGCCCCAAAAATGTCGGATTTTTGTTTTAGAAAATAAACCCATGTTTTCCGACTAAAATCATCAATGAAAAGAGCAAAATAATTACTATTTCCAAGAGAGCTTCGTTTAATTGGCCCACATATATTTGTGTGTACAAGGTCTAATGGTTGTTTTGCTCTTGTAGATGCTTGCTTTGGAAAACTTTTCCGTGGTTGCTTTCCAAATAAACATCCCTCACACAATTGATTAGGTTCATTTATTTTGGGCAAGCCTTTCACCATATTTTTGTCACTCAACAATTTTAAACCTCCAAAATTAAGATGCCCAAACCTCAAATGCCAAAATTAAAACTTGCTTTCAAACATTTAGCTCCCCCGTTTTCAATGTTTAGTAAAAACATTATATTTCTTGACATTGGTACTTTAGCAACCAAAACTCCATTTTTATCTCTCATCAAAAGGGTATGATTTTTCATATGAATATCATATCCTTTTTCAAAAAGTTGCCCCAAACTTAAAATGTTTGATTGATTTCATATTAGGCACATAGTAGACATTAGAGATGAAATCATTCTTTCCATTTTTCAACCGGATTGAAACTTTCCCCTTTTCTTTTACCAGAATTTTTGATTCATCCCCAAAATAAATATTTCCACTTACCGATTCATCAAGATCGACGAACATATCTCTCTTCCCACACATGTGGTTGCTAGCTCCTGTGTCTAAGTACCAAGTCGTTTTGGTGTCACTTTCTCCTCCTTTATGGACCATCAACAATGTTGAATTTTCTTCTTCCTTGACAAAATTAGTCCGCTCCATAACTCTATTTTTTTCCAATCTACAATCGGAGGCATAGTGACCAAATCTTTGACAATTATAGCATTGAATTTGAGGTTTATCATACCTTGGTCTTGAAGACCCCTCTCTTCCTCGGCCTCTTGATGGATAGAAATTTGGACCTCTTTCTTCATTGTTGAAGGTCTTGTAGCCACCTCTTCCATAGCTTTGACTTCGACCACACCCTCTTGAATTTTGATTTCTTCCATCTTGAAAAGTCTCTTTATGCCTTAGGGTGAACTTGGTTTGAAGGGCTTGCTCCAATGACTCTTCTTTTATCCTCTTCTTGAATTTTTCTTCATGAGCTTGAAGAGATCCCAAGAGTTGATCGACCGTCATAGTTTCTAAATCTTTAGATTCCTCTATTGCCACAACTGTGTAATCATATTTTGGATCTAAAGATCGTAGAATTTTTTCAACCACTCAGTTGTCTTTAATTTCTTCTCTGTTTCTTCTCATTTGAGTAACGACGCCTTGAACTCTTGAGAAATAGTCATCAATGGATTTCGTAGACTTCATTCTTAATGATTCAAACTCACCTCGAAGAGTTTGGAGTCTTACTTTCTTCACCTTATCTACTCCTTTGAAAGAATTCTCCAATATCTCCCAAGCTTCTTTACTTGTAGTTGCACACGCCACCTTTGTAAACATAGCTTCATCCAAAGCTTGATGGATGATGTAGAGCGCCATTTGATCTCTCTTTTTAATATTTCTAAAGGCATTCTTTTGAGTTTGATTTAAAGCGTTGACGTCCTCGGGTTCCTCGAAACCTTCCTCTATCATGTCTCATACATCTTCCGAACCAAGTATTGTCTTCATACGAATGCTCAAATTATCATAGTTTTCCTTTTTTTAGTAGAGGAACTTGAAGGGAACCGGCCATTTTTGGGTGATGACCGAACGGGCTCTGATACCACTGTTGGAAATAAGTGAAGGAAGATTTGGGAAATTGGGTGGCTAATTTAGAAATATTATGGAAGAGATATTTGAACAAAGGGGAAGAATTCTTTTTATTAGAACAACTCAAATTGGCTTGATTTGCTTGATACAAAGTGGTGGCGGGGAAGCTCTATTTATACTAATATAAAAGTATCTACTCTTCTACCATTAATGAATTCTACACAATTCTACACAATTAATACTATGAGAATTCTAGAGACCACACTTTCTAGAGAAGTTCTAGAATTCATTCCTTCTACACTTTTCTACTACTTGGGTCTTCCCTACAACAACTAAAATAAATATTAAATAGGCCCAAAATATAAAAACAAGTTTAATTTTCAACAATATGAATCGACCACTCACTAGATACATATTTATATGAAAATAATTTTAAACTCAGTCAAATGTTACGATTTTATATCTCCTATTAGTTTGAACAGATGTGATACTAATTTATTATAAACTTTTGTCATGTTTATATGTAAGGTAATTATAGTGGAAAAATCACTAACATTACTCTTGAATAAGTGGTGGACAAATGTAACTTTCAGTGACTATATAATTGTGTTTAAAGTTTACATCATTGTGACTACATAATGTAAATTGTGAACACAATTATAGTTACTAAAAGTTATTAAGTCACATTATTTTTCATAACTTTTTTATTAGTAATATTTAAGAAAAACCCTCTAATTATAATTTAACCCATTGTATATTGTGTATTCAAAAAAGGTTATATTACGAAAGAAATAATCCTAAAGTTTGAAAATTATACGTAAATAATCTGAACTTGTTAACAATTTCACAAACATGAACCAACATAAAGGAAAGTTAAACTCGTAAAGTGACAGTTCATATTTGTGAAACAGTTAACTAGTAGGGATTATTATTGTCGTGAACTTTTCTAGTACGATTATTTTTTTAAATAAAAAGTTTAAAAGTGGAGATTATTGGTGTCAGTTCATCATATTATTGTTTACAATGTTTTATTGTTAGTCTATTGATTTTTAATATTATTTATTTGAGACTTTTTTATTTACATTTTGGCAAACCAGACAATGTATGAAAATATGCTTGATTCTAACTAAAAGAATACATGTTTGGCAAATTACAAATAGAATAAGGGTCCCTTGTTGAATTAGCTGAAATTGGTGAAACTCTAGTTCAAATTACTGAATCAGATGAATTGCAAAAAGACTCTTTGAATTATAATTTATTAATAAAATAAAGAAAAAAATATATGAAAACAGCTAAAATAACCCTCTTCATTATCAAATTCAGATAATTAAATTCAACTTTATTTATTTTGTTATCGTACAACCTATCGCAAGATATCAAGAATTATGTGCTTGGTAACAAATGGGTTCTAATTAAGTATAATTATGGGAGCATTTGCGTATCAAGAATGGCATACTTGAATTTTGGGACTTGAAATAGTTGTGCAGGTATTTGACCTGTAAGGCCATTTGTATCCAGTTGCCTGTTGCAATTAAGAACAACGTAACATCTCAAGTTCAGTAAGTAATTTCTGTTCGCAAGTAATTAAACAATTAACCTCAAATTCAGAAATGGTACAAATGCAATAAATTAATACGGAGTAAGCAACTCACAAGTTAATTAAGCTAGGAAGGCTTGAAAGAGATTCAGGGATTTTGCCTGTCAGATTGTTCTGATTCAAATACCTGTTTCATGCATTGCGAAAATACAATTACTAATTACTACCTAGTTTGGTCTGGGGATTTCGGAGGAGAGGGGAGTCATTTATTTGTAACTCAATTTCTAAATTTAGAAGGATATAAGTAAAGTAAAGATGAAAAACAATATAAACAGTCTAGCTAATCTCATAGTTATCTCTACTCCAAATAGTAAACATAGGCAGCTGAAGTCCTCAGAAAAAAATTAATAACGTGTAGATTTTGTTATACTTGAGTAAACTAAAATTCAATCCTCTCTTCCCCTTCATTCCGAAGGATTCATGGGCCGAACAAAAATGTAAAGATTCAGAGTGCCCTCAGATCCAACCGAACAGTAATCCGAGAGGATGTAAATTGAGTTATGATCACACTCTGATGAAAAGAGAGTGAGGTTCCATCCCAAGTCATTGTTTGGGGTTGAACTCGGACCTCTCCCTTGTGGTAATCTCTTCCTACCAGGTGAGCTACGCCCCCCGGTTTCGAGATTTCATCCCAAATGGTAGGAAAAATATCTTGAAATTACTAGTTCATATATAGTTTATTAGTGTAGGAAATACTACTCTCCTCATGACCAGACATTTCATGCAGATCGTGTGTGCCGTCATTAATATTTTTCATCGATTCATCATAATCTTTGTCATTTTTCACAATCGTCATCATTTTTCATAGGGGTCCATACCACGATTATGAATCAGGTGAATTACGATACCATGTTAAAGTATTTGGACATACTTTAACACAAAATAGCAAAGTATGTGAAAGCTTTTAATGCTTACAAGAATTGGAGTTTCTTGAGATTGGCAAGGGAAGTTGGTATCGCTCCAGAGAGTTTGTTGTTCTGGAGGTCCAAAGTAGTCAAGCTTGACAAATTTCCAATTTCTTCAGGAATACTACCCGTTATGCCATTTCCTTTTAATAATCTACACACATACATATATGATAAGTCTAGCTATGATGAAATCTATAAAGCACTCTTCAACTATATTACGACTTTTAATACGCATTATATTCAGGTCTGAATATGGTTTGGTGATTTATTCAACAGGTCACTCTAAGTATTGTGTTTACCCCCTCAAATTATCCAGATCAATTTGACTGAGGGCTAGAGAAAAATATCTAAGACGTTTACAGATCCAGCGTACGTAATGTAAGACTCAGAATCATATCATACAATGCGTTGAGCTTCTTCAAAACTCCTATTGAGGGAGATAAAGTGCCAGAAAATCCCATATTTGGCAGTGACCTGCAATGAGTAAAAAAGTTTTAAAATTTCAACTGTCATGTTTTTATTCTCTAAATAAGAGTAATTTCTGTCAAGTTTGGGATTAACAGACTTTAAACATGGTATTTTTTGTCAAACTTGACATAAATTACTCCGGAATAAAAATATCAAGGTCTTGTTTTGGAATTTGGAAACGTTTGAGCAAGAAATTTGTATATAAATTTGTTTGATTTGAGGAGGTAGAAGAATAAATTAAAGTAGGTAGAAGCAATGGTTAATTATTAGCTTAGGCTGATTGCAACCCATAGTTGAATAAGTCAAATTCATTCTTTTCACCCCAAACAACTTTAGCCATAATTAGGCGGTGCCCTGGACTCGCTGGAATGCGCTTGGATTTCTTTTCTTCATACTTTTGGGCTGGCTTAAATTTAAAAAAAAAAACATTTTTAGGTAGATCCAATATAGGAGTACATATTTTGAATGGAAACTCCAATTTATTTGAAATTAAGGTCATGTGTGCAAATTTTAATACCTTCCAAAAAAAATATTTTTTTACATCGAAATATTTGACTTTTTAATTCATAATGATTAGTAAAAAACAATTTGTCATATGATTGATGTGTGATAATAAAAGTAAGAATGTATACATTTCTTTTAAAAAAATGTGTTGGGTGAATATATTGACGGTGTTGGGTTGCAGAGAAAAACTGATTGACTGAGTGAATACGTATAAAAAGGTGGCGAATTTGATTTATTGACTCCAGCGGGGTTGCGGACAGCCTTACACCATGATGACATTGTTAGTAGCATCGCATGTGATTTTGGACCAAGTGCACGGATTCACTTCACTCTCATACCAATCTGTAAGCTCACTGCTCGATGCATTTAGTGACGCCTTCAACGCAGACAGTGCAACTCCTTCATTCATTCAAAGCAAGTAATAATAACAAATCGACATAAATAATTAAACATCGGATATATTACTCATAAATCTTTAGTAATAAATCTTATTTTTATTATGATTACTTAGCTTGCAAACTAAAGACAAGTGGAAATATATTATGAGTACATACGTACCTTGAGCATCAGGCGAAACAAAAGAGGTAAAGCATGCCAAAATCAGTGCTGCTGCATATGATACCGCCTGCGCCATCTCCAACCAACTCAGCTCATTCCATTCATTTCATTCCATTTATTAATTGGAGCAAAAGATCATACCACTCTCTTAAATTAAAGAGCACCAAAGAATATAATACTCCCTCCGTCCCCTTTATATTGTCCCGTTTTACCTTTTCGGAAAATCCCATTAAAATTGTCATATATCATATTTGTTAAAGTTTGTGTGGCTCTAAATCATTCTTACATAATTCTTACTTTATCAATTAATATCAACCACACAAATCCACTTTTCTTAATAATCGTGTCACCCTCTTCCGTCCCAATATAAAAGGGACCGAGGTAGTATTAACTAATGCAAATTGTCGACCATTCAATTTCAAACCAAAGGTTCAAATTTCAAACCACAGCTCAGCTCACTATTATTTTCTTTTCCTCAAGGTAATTAAGACATTGAATAACCTTATTTAATACATCTACAATCTTTTTGAAATTTCAATTATTCCTTTGTGATAACTTACTTTTACGTAATTCGTAACAATAATTCATACTTTCACAGGTTCTACAATAATATCTCCCGCCGAAAATGTTCATAAATAATTTTAACTTCTAGGCTACTAGTGGTCTCTTAAGAATATCTTGGCGTGATCGAATTCAAACTAAGACCTGTTCGCCATTTAATACTCCCAGCCTCTAGTCAAACTTTTTTCATCCCGCTCTTCTTCTCGTGATGAATTCAAATAAATGTCTGTCTAATCTCAAGTCTCAACGTCATTTCTATCATATGTAATTCTCTCAAGGTTAGATGATAGAATTGCTAACTGAGACAAAGAGTGGAGAAGGAGAAATTTGGGTTAGGGATTGGGAGTATCAAACAGCATTAGTTTGAATTCGGTCCAATTTATTTTTGTGGACATCCATCAGATTCGGTCAAAACAACTTTAGCCATAATTTCATCAATTACAACATATTTAGCCGGTTCAGTCAATTCTAGTATTACCAAAAGGGCTCTCAAGAATGGAGTACTTCAATTGTTACTAGTTAAAGGTTAATCATTTATCTTATGTTTACTGGCTTTTATGGGTGTCCGGAAAGAAACAGGAGGAGAGAATCTTGGGCACTTTAGAAGTCTTTGAGTTTAGGGCATAATCTCCCATGGATCGTCATGGGTGATTTTAATGACCTTATGGTGGCGTCCGATAAGCGGGGTAGGATTCCGCACCCTCCGTGGCTCTTGAGGGGATTTCGGGAGACAGTTTGGGATTGCGGCTTGCAAAATTTCCCGTTCCAGGGTTATCAGTTTACTTGGGAAAGGTGGAGGGGGGTCCCGGCTTGGGTGGAGGAAAAGCTGGATAGAATTCTCGTTTCTGAAGAGTGGCTGGACATTTTCGGGGAGGCAGTAGCAGAATAGGTGGAGGGGGCGCCTAGTGATCATTTAGCATTATTCATCAGGCTTTTTCCTTCTCAACAATATCATAGACGGAGTAAATTTAAATTTGAGAATCTTTGGCTTCGGGATGAGGATTGTAGGAATTTGGTTGCTAGAAGCTGGAGGCTGGGATCTCAAAGGGGGATTGTCGGGCAGATTGAGGTGTGTGGAAAAACTGTGGGGGAGTGGGGAAAGAGGAAGAATGGGTCTCTTGGAAAAAGAATTGGCTTTTGTAGGAGGAGGTTAGAGTTCCTGAGGAGAAAGACCGATTAGAGGAGCCTGGCGGCGTTTCAGACAGCTAAAGGTGAATATCTTGATCTTCTTGAGCAGGAGAACATTTTTTGGCGTCAGAGGGCAAAAGAATTTTGGTTCAAGGAGGGGGATCTGAATACTCGATTTTTTCATAACTCAGTGAAATAGCGTAGGAGGAAGAATAGGATTGAGGGGATTCGGGTGGAAGGAGGGGGTTGGGAGAGGGAGAGATCAGAGATTGGCAGGATGATTGGGGACTATTTTGCTAATTTGTTTTCTTCTGTGCAGAGTAGCGGTGATTATGTATTTCATTTAGTTCACCGTAAAATTAGTGACTATCATAATGTGGAGCTGCTACGGCCTATTCGAGGAGAGGAGGTTAGAGCAGCGGTGTTTGCTATGTACCCTGATAAAGCTCCTGGGCCGGATGGCATGAGTCCGGGGTTTTTCCAGCATTATTGGGATGTGGTGGGACCTGATGTTATTAAGTTCTGTGCAGAGGCTTTCGAATCAGGTAAACTACCAAGCAACATTAATCATACAAATATTGTATTAATTCCAAAAAAGGATTGCCCCGAGTCTTTGAATGATTGGAGACCTATTTCTTTGTGCAATGTTGTGTATAAGATTTTTTCGAAAGTGTTAGCTAACAGACTGAAGCCCTTGTTTCATTTATGTATTTCTGAGAACCAGAGTGCGTTCATTCCGGGTAGGTCTATTGTTGATAATATTATGCTCGCTTTCGAATCACAACATTTTTTGCACCGGAAATCTCAGGGTAAAACGGGGTTTGTAAGTCTTAAACTGGATATGAGTAAGGCTTATGACAGGGTAGAGTGGTCTTTTTTAGAAGGAATGATGAGACAAATTGGGTTTGCTGAAAGATGGGTTAATATGGTGTCCGAGTGTGTGCGATCTGTTTCTTACTCTATCCCTTTTGATGAGATGGAGTTAGGGCCTATCTTACCTACTAGGGGGTTAAGGCAGGGTGATCCGTTATCACCCTATTTATTCCTTCTAGTGGCGGAAGGGTTGAGTGCCCTTTTGAGGGGGCACGAATCCGCAGGCCGTCTGCATGGTGTTGCGGTTGCTCGGGGGGCTCCGAGGATATCTCATCTACTTTTTGCAGATAACAGTCTGTTATTTTTTAGAGCAACGCACGGGGAAGCATCTCTTGTGAAAGAGATGTTGCACGACTATGAGTTAGCTTCTGGACAGGTGATTAATCTTAATAAATCAAAAATCTTTTTTAGCTCCAACGTGTCTGCTGAATGTAGAGAAGGATTGGTTGATTTACTGGGGGTGGGTTTAGCAGGCAATGATGAGAGGTATTTGGGGTTGCCGGCTCTGGTGGGAAGAAATAAGAAGTCTATTTTATCTTATTTGAGACATCGAATGGTTAGTCGTATTCAGAACTGGAATAACCGTTTTTTATCCAGGGCTGGAAGAGAGATTTCATTGAAATCGGTAATCCAGGCTATGCCGACCTTTGCAATGAACGTTTTTCTTTTGCCTAAGGAATTATGTCGGGAAATTGAAGTCCTAATGAATGGGTTTTGGTGGAGTGGAAAATCAGGGAAGGGGATTAGATGGAGGAACTGGGATTTTTTGTGTAAACCAAAGAAAGTTGGGGGTATGGGCTTTAAAAAAATCCGTGAGTTTAACTCATCAATGTTAGCTAAATAGGCGTGGAGGATCTTTACTAATCCCGAGTCCCTTGTGGGGAAGGTGTTCAAGTCCTGGTATTACCCTGGTGGGAATTTTTTGACTGCTAAAATTGGTCACAACCCCTCTTTCGTGTGGCAAAGTATTTTTCAAACTCAGAATATTATAAAAAAGAGCTATTTTTGGAGAGTAGGCCGTGGGAGTGATATTAATATTTGGACTGACCCGTGGTTACCTGACCCGGATCAGCCAATGGTTATTACATCCCCGGTTGAAGGTCTTCAGGAGGCGTGTGTTAGGAATCTCTTGTGCGAATCAGGAAAAGAGTGGGACAGGGATATTCTTAGTGATTTATTCGAGTCCAGGGATGTTCAATTAATTCAAAGCATTCCTATTAGTTATCGGTCTATTTCGGATAAAATTTGCTGGAGATGGGAATCAAACAGACATTTCTCTGTTCGTAGCTGTTACCGGCAGTTGGTTGGAGAGTTTAACTCTCCGAGTTGGCTTGGTTGGACTTCTGTTTGGAGGTGGAAGTTGCCTCCAAAGATTAAACTTTTCTTTTGGCAGCTCTGTTGCGGGCTATTGCCGACGAGGGTGAATCTGAGGTCCCGAGGGGTGGACTGTGTCGTGGAATGTGGGCTGTGTGGAGAGGAAATAGAGTCGTCGAACCATCTTTTTATCAAGTGCCCGATTTCAAAAGAGGCATGGAAGGAGATTGGCTGGGCTTGGGCGAGCTGCTCAGACGATGATCTCTTGGGGGTGGTGAAGGCAGAATTCCAGACACGAACGGAGAAGGAATTGCACAAGATGGTTTGGGGGTTCTGGGGGCTGTGGGGTGAAAGAAATAATAGAGTATGGAATGGGGTTCGGAGGGATCCGAAATATATTTTGTTAAAAACTAAAATTTTTGTTACAGGATGGGAAAATGCTCAAATGGCAGCTGGTTCACGTGAAGGCAGCAGGAGGAAGGCACGAACAAGCTGGAGCAGACCAAATGCAGGGCGGGTAAAGCTGAACATTGATGCCGCTGTTCGTTCTCATATGTGTGGGTGGGGCTGGGTTCTTCGGAATGAAAATGGAGAGTTCCTAGCGGCTGCACCAAAGGCGTGGCAGGGGGTTCTATCGCCTTGGGAAGCTGAATTGATTGGCATTAGGGAGGCGCTCAGTTGGGCAAAGGAGAAAGGGTGGGATTTTATTGATGTGGAATCAGATGCTTTAAGAGCAGTGGCGGAGATTCAAAGCGGTTCGAGTGTTTCTGCAGCAGGCATGGTAGCGGAAGACATACATGATATTAGCTCAAGGATGTTGAACGTTTCCTTTGGTCATGTTAGACGATCTGCGAACATGGTAGCTCATGAGCTCGCTCAAGTTGCGTGTTCTACGTCTGATTGTCGTTCTTGGATTGATATTCCTCCTAATTTTATTACTCATGTATTGCACAATGATTTGATTAATGATAATTAAATTTGTTTTCTTCAAAAAAAAAAAATACTCCATCTTATCCATCCAGAGGTCTCATTTTTCAATTTGTGTCATTCTCACTAAATTTGTATCATACTATATTTTACTCCCTATGTCCCATTAGAAGGTTTCCACATTTTTTTGAACGTCTCATATAAAGGTTTTCATTTCCATTTTATGAAACAATTAACAATGTTAAGTGACAGATTAATCTTTAAATATTAAAAATAATACATTTATAACATCACAGTTATCAATACTAACTATATTATAATATACTTCGTATAACT